TTGAAACAGTGTATTTTACAAAGTGCCCTGAGACATTAATTACAGCACAGAAAAAAGTACAGCCAAAGAGGCACAGAAAGCTAACAAGATGGTTTTAGTTTCTAATCTACTTTTTCATGAAGTCAGTCGGGGAAAAACAAACCAAGGAAAGCAAACTGAATAATCCAGTTACACACACACACGCCTCAAAGTTGAATGTATACAGGCCACAATAGTATCAAAAGCACAGCACTATCCACAATATCAAACAAATAAACATTTGCAAATGAAAGAGAAAGCTAACTCTAAAAAGAAACAAAAGTTATACACTTATTTTTCCAGCCTCATGAGGAAACAATTTAAAAGATCTTTAGGAACTACTACTATGTAACAGAACGACTTCGGAAACCGAGAACAGAATAATAATGTTTCAGGAGAAGCGAGGACTTATGTGTCAAGTAAGCAGGTTTTGAGCCCCCGTTTACTGAACTGGGGGATTGGTTAGCGAGCAACACAGAGAACTAGTAAGAGGATAACTGTGTATCTGCAGGCAGATAAAGTGGTTACGGTTAAAAACAGTAACAAACAAAACAATTTGGCAGATGGGGGAGGGAAAGATTTTCCCCCAAAGGAAAAATTGCTGAATGAACGCAAGCAGGAGTGGATTATTCAAAGTCCCCTCTGCCATGGTAACCAACACAGCTAAGGTGTCCAAAAAGACATTAAAGGTGAATGAAGGGGAGGTCCTCCTCCTCCCATCATGACTAAAATAAAAATGTAGGCCGGGCGAGGTGGCACACACCTGTAATCCCAGCACTTTGTGAGGCCGAGGCAGGTGGATGACCTGAGGTCAGGAGTTCGGGACCAGCTGGGCCAACATGGAGAAACCCCGTCTCTACTAAACACACAAAAGCAGCTGGGCGTGGTGGCGCGCCAAGTAGTCCCAGCCACTCCGGAGGCTGAAGCAGGAGAATTGCTTGAACCCGGGAGGCGGAGGCTGCACTGACCCGAGATGGCGCCACCGCACTCCAGCCTGGGCGACAGAGCGAGACTCCGTCTCAAACAAAAACAAACAAGAAAAAAGAAGACGTCACCGCGTTCGCGGATGCTGGGCCAGCCCGGGGCCTAGTCCAGGCGAGGCCGCACGTGGAGCCGCGTGTCACGCACTGCGCCAGGCCCGGCTGCGCGGAGGGGCCGGCGGGAGGGAGGAGAAGGGGCTGACGGCGCGGGGCAGGAGGGACGTCGTGCGCGCACCCGCTTTTTCCCCAAGCGAACTGGCAATGGCAACAAGGAGGCCGAAGGCTAAGTCCCTGCTCCCATCGCCGGCACGGTGACCCCTTTTTCCGAGGGTCACCCCCGAACCAACACAGCACACACACACCCGAGACGCGCCGCAGGCCGCAGCGCCACCCCCCCCCCCAACTCCGGTGCCCGGAGACAGGCGAGCCGCGGCCCCCAGGGGGCTCCCGGCGCCACCGCTTCTCCCTCAGCCGCCTCGGGCCGGCGACACGCGCAGCCCCAAGGCCCGCTCCCCGCTCGCCAACCGCCCCGCCCCGCGCCTCAGCCACCTCCACAGAGTCGCCAACGCGCGGGGGCGGCTCCGAGCGCCCATTTCCCATCCCCGAGGCCGAGGCTGGCGAGGCAGGTGCTGACGGGGAGCCTCGCGCCTGCACCAAAGGGATCCCGCCCAGGGCCGGCGCCCACGCGAGCCACCCTCGCCGCGCACTCTGCACGGCCCACGCCCCGGCGCCTCCCCTCCGCCCAGTGGCCGCAGAACCGCGCCCCCTCCCCCTCGGCAGCTTCCACAACGGCTGCACCTCAACCGTCCGAAGCTTCTCGCCTCCCGGCTTGGAAGACCAAGCCGAAGCCGCACCCTCCCTCCGCGCCCCGCCGTCGGGGAAGCCCACCCAGACACTCGGCTCAACCTGCCGGCAGAAGGAGGCCTCGGCGTAGTGTCGGTGGAGTCGCCCCCGATGCCGCCCTGCGTCGCAACTCTGCCCCTCAGGGACCGCCGCAGCGCCTCAGGCGGCCGGCGGAAGGCGGGAAGCGCCCGTCCAATCCCCGCCAGGTGCGGTCGTTAGTGCGTCCAATCGGCGTCGCCGCCAGCCAGGCCCCGCCCCCCCCCAACGTTCGCCCGGATCGCCCGAGGCCTGAGCCAAGGGGGACGCAGCGGGCGCGACTCAGGCCGGGCCCTCAGGTTAGTGGGTCCGGGCTGTCCCCGCGCTTCGGCCTTATCCTCCCTGGCTGCCCTCTCCTGATGAACGCCCCGCGAGCGGAGTCGCCCCCGCCAGCGAGGAGACGCGCCGCCTTGACTGGGGCCCTGGCCCCGGGACAGGCGAGCAGGAAGGGATGGAAGGGACGGAAGCGCGGGCAGGACTAGGAGGAGCCCATCGCCGAGCTATGCGTCCCCAGAGCCACTGGGACCCGGGGCTCCAGCCAGCCCTGCGGAGGCGAGCCAGACCGGGGACCAGGGCTCCGGGGACCGGGGCGCCGGGCAGACGACTCCTGGGCGAGGCCTGGCTCCTCCCGGCAGGGGACGCAGGGTCGCCTGCAGGGTCGCCTGGGTGCGGGTGCCGGAGGGCGGGAGGGACCGCAGGTCCCGGGACGGGGTGCTGAGCTGGGTACCCAACAGCGTATTCCTAGGCTCTTTCAGACGTTTCCATTTAAGATACCCGTTTTAACTTACGCAGCCAGCGGGTGCTTCTGTAAAAAAAACGCAAGCCCTTTGGAGACAGGCACAGCCGGGAAAGGGTCCCCTTGCCCCTTGGCTCGCAGAGGGCGTCGGTGTTCGGTGCTCAGTCTTCTGGGTGTTTTCCCCGTGCTCCCGTTCTGAGATGGAAACTGTTCCACGTGCACTGAGATGCAGCTCGGTCTTTTTAACAGCTTCGTAATTATTTAATCATGTGGATTAACTTCATCCGAGGAATTCAGTCCTCCACTGATGAGCCTACACTTCTATTACAAATAATACGGCAGCAAACCACCTTTGGATTAATCAACATTTGTGTCGGATACATTTTTAAAAGTTGAATTGTATGTGTAGTTAAACTTTTTATAGGTATCCTCAAAAATTTAAAATTATATTTTAATAACATTTTAATTTCCTATCTAAAAGGCACTAATTGTTTAAAAATATGTGATTAGGATTTAAATGTGAGGTGGAAAGCACCTGAAAAAAATAAACACAAGGCAATAGAATCAAAACTCAGTTGTGGACCAGAGCAGATCAAATCACATTAAATAAGCTCTCAGAGGTGTTTTAAATATTCTGCTTAGTTAGAATTACCAGCTTCTTGACAACTTTGTAACTACCCCTGTTGAACTTAATTTTGATATCTTAGTTTTTAAATTCAGAGCTGATAGATTACATATGCAATCTAAGGTACACAGGTGTATGCAGGGATTTGAGGGGATTTTATATGTTCAAAGCTTTCAATGCTTTTGAATTCTTCATATGTTTAAGTATTAATAATGTATAACACAAAATGTAAGAAGATGGTAGAGTGTTTCAAAATTGTGACCCGACAATTGTGCATAATTATTTTCACACCTAGTTTTCCGCCAATAGATTTAAGTTCCTTCATGATGGAGTTGCACACAGGAATTTTCCCAATACACTTCAAAAATTAATAGTGATGACTTGTTTACCTTGCTGCTTTTTAGTTGAAGAAAAGTGTTAGAGCCTTTTTTATTGCTTCATGTGTTCAGGAAGCCTGCAGATTATTTAGTAAACATCAGTAAACCACAACATGGAAGAAAAAAAGGGTATCACTAATTTTACTGTTAATTTTTTTTTTTAGGTTTTAGACTGGCATTTCATGAAAAACTATCAATTACAATTAAAATTTGGAAACTATGTGCAGTGGTTCACACCTATAATCCCTTCACTTTGGGAGGCTGAGTTGATGGGATTGCTTGAGGCCAGGAATTTGAGACTAGCCTGGGCAACATAGCTAGGGCCTATCTCTACAAAAAACAAAATTAGCCAGGCGTGGTGGCATGCACCTGTGCACCTAGCTACTCTATACCGGAGGCTGAGGTGGGAGAATTTTACTTGAGCCCAGGAGCTGGAGGCTGCAGTGAGCTATGATTGCACCATTGCACTCCAACGTTGGTGACAGGACAAGACCTTATCTCAAGAGAAATATCAAAATTTGGCTTTCAATTAATTCAGCTTTCTGAATCAACAAGCATTTATTTGGAATATTCTATATAACAGGTAGAGAGAGCACTGACTTTGAAATAGATTTGAATGCTCAATTTGTTGCTTACCAGCTATGGGACTTTAGGTGAGTTACAGTTATGCATTGCTTAATGATAGGGGTAAGTTCTGGGAAAGGTGTCCTCCTCAAGCAATTTTGTTATTGTGTGAATATCTTAGCGTTTACTTACAAAAACCTACGTGGTATAGTGTACTACACACCTCAGGTATATATAGTACAGTCTATTGCTTCAAGGTTGCAAACTTGTACAGTATGTTACTGTAATGAATACTGTAGACAACTGTAACACAAGGGTATTTGTGTATATAAACACAGAAAAGATACAGGAAAACACTGGTATAATTCCATGGACCCACTGTCATATATACAGTCCCCTGATGAGTGAAATGTTATGTGGCCTATGACTGTACTTAAACCTCTCTGAGCCTTATTCTTTTCAGCTAAGAAAAAGGGGACATTGTCTCCCAGGTAGCATAACATTCAGAATTAAATGAAATCACATATTTAAAGCACTTAGCATTGTGGCCAAGCAAATAAGGCAAGACAAAATAAAAGTAAGTTTTCTTCCCCCATGTGCAAGACTTTGTACTTAGGTGAGGGTCATCATCCGGAAGGAAGGCAGACACACACTCATTACTGCCTACAGAGTGTCATTAACTGTTGCAATAGAAGTACATTAGTGATTCCCTGCATTCCTCTAGAGCTTTCTTCATATCTCATGCTGACCTGGCATATAAAATTGTATTTCCTTTTCTAAAAGACATACGCAACAACTCTGCTACTGAAGCTGAGACACAATGACAAAATTTATTTAATTTTTGCCAAGGCTCTACATTTGTCAGTGTTGTAGAAAGGATAAGACTTGCATGTGAAATGATTTAAACAAGATTTTCTAAAGCTTGGTTTTCTGTAATTAGGCCACAAGAAAAACGTACTCCAGCATAATAGAATGGCTCACAGCTACTTTTGCATATATACTTTAATATTTAGGCTTGGGTAAAATCATTTTAAATAACATATTAAAATATGTTTGGGGAGACAACCCAGCAATTGCACAGTCCACTAGAAAATTTTACCATCTAGGCAGTATAACTGTTTTAGGGTCTGAAAGTTCTCCTTCAGCTGTTCCACAGCTTCTTTATCAACTAGGCAAATACATTTAAGCTTTTAAATTTCATAATGTCGATAGTTTTTAAAAGGCACAAGGAGGTTCACTTAATATTAAATATGTAACATTTACTTTATATTTCATGACCAGAACCTTTTTGGCAAGTGACTTTCACATAGATTATGAGATTCTCTACATGCCTTTAAATAAAATAAATCTGGCAGCTCTTAACTCATACCTACATTCTCCGGACAATTGTCTTGCTCTCTGTTGGGGGACCAGGGGCACAGCAGCCAAGGCCCTAACAGGCTTGCTGACCTAATTGGACCGTTTGTTAAATAGCAGGAAATGTAACCAGGCTTCTCTCTCTCTTGCATGTCAATGTAGTGAACAGTGCTAATAGCCAGAGATTGTGCAATTTAGTCACAATATTTTAAGTCAAAATTCAGTGTTCTTAGATCAAAAGATACGAAAGAAAGCCATCCCTGTTCTTTGAATTATAAGAGCACAGAGGTTGCAATGATCAGAACCAACTGGTTAAAAGCCGAAATGCATCCTTTCAGTATTGATTTGACAGATGCCAACAAGCATTCAAAAATTTAGAGTTAATTTCCTGGTGACAGGTATAAAACTGATCAGACTTGTTTCAACTGTATCATAAACAAACTTCACAAATTGGAGATCTAGTCCTTCTTGGCTTTTTTTCCCCTACACCTTAATTCTAGCACCTGTTGTCAGACCACTGTTGAGCACCAAAAGAACTCAGCCCGGAGTTCTTTGGAGTTTTAAGCGATTGCCTAACTCAGCAGGGGACAGTGGTCTTGACTTACTGGTTGATAGTTTAAAAACATAAAAGAATTTAATATTTTAAAGCTGACAAACTAGAAAATGTTAGAAACTATCTGAAGGCACAAAGTATAAAGTTGGTGGGTACCTGATAAAACGTGATGTATGTAAATACAACTCAAAACAATTTAAAAGTATAAGTATTTGTCAATTATTTTTCCTCCAGTGCTCTGGCTATTGCTGAAAACACCTTCTAGTTCCACCTTGTAACTGGAGTCCCAAAAGATGAATGCTGACATCTTCTGATGCTTAACAAGAAATAAAAAGTCACCTTAATCATCAAAAAGGTAATTGCAAAGGGCACTGTTGCCTGAAATTCTCTAGTCACCTGAAAACTGAAACAACTGAGGCAAGATTTCTTAAAATATTTAGGAAGGTTAAAACTTAAACAGAATGGCCTGATAATGATCAAACATGTACAGAGAAATACATGAAATCAGAATTGTGAATGCAGAGAAATAACTGTTTTGCTAGTTTAAAAGTTTGAAGCTTTTCCCTCCTCCCTAGCTGTTAATGTAGGAGACACACAGCCTAACCAAGACAGTCTCAATGCCCAGGAATGGTTGTGTGATGACTGATAAAGCAGAAATTTCTTGCCTATTAATAGTTTCCCACGGTTAGAAGGCGACAGCCACTGGCAATCAGATGCGGTCTCAGGTTTTCCTTGTCCTGGGGCAGGAATGCCTGGAGGGACCATGATGTGGGTCACACTGTACATTCTGTTTATTGTGGGCACAAACATACAACATAACTTTTTTTTTTAGCTTATTAAATCGAGAATATTCCTGAGGAGGCATCCGCTATGGGCTAACGGTCCCAACATCACAATAATAAATAACAGCTATGTTTACAGAGACACATTCAGGGCACATGCAAAAGCTTTTCCTAGCAGGAGGACTTGGGCCTTTGCAAAACAAGCTGCTTGGGCCTCCCCAGAGGGCCCACCCTCCCATGCACCTACCCCACTACCCTGCCCCAACTCATTACACAACTCGGCCTTCTGGCCACCTGAGGCTACTTTTTAGACCAAGTGACTCAGACGTTTCAAGTAGAAGACAGGATGGGCCGCTGCCAGGGGACCTTGCCACAGAAAATTAGGTCAGAGGACTTGCAGGGTGGCGAAGAACAACCGGATAGATGTGAGAGCCCAGCAGGGAAATGACAGGAGGCGCAGCTTAGGTGTGGAGGCTCCACGTGGCTGGTCCCCACGTGACTCAGATGAAGTGGATCCAGCTCTCTTCGCACTCGCCGCGAGGCATGTGCAGCGCATGGTTGCGACACGTGAGGCTGTAGTCTCGGCAGTCGTTGTTGTCCCAGTACTCGGCACCCGCCACTCGGTAGCGCACCGCGAAGTGCACGCGGGAGCCGAGCTCCAGCAGGAAGGGTGGCACTGGGAAGCCAAAGGTGAAGACGTCCTCCTTGCCCTCGGGGCCTTCGGGCCCGCGCCACCGCGCCACCGCCTCGTGGGTACTGCGCCAGCCCGAGAAAGTGTAGCGCACAGCCACCTGCTTCTCGAAGGCCACGTTGCACACGCGCACCGTACCGCTGATGCCAAGGTCCGAGCAAGTGACACGCTCCAGGCACACAAGCTGGCGCTGCAGGCGCTCGCCAAAGTCGGCGGCCTCGACGGGCGGCGGGAAATCGGGCACCAGGTACTGCAGGGTGAACTCCAGGTCCTGGCTGCTGCAGCACAGGTCAGAGTTGATGGCGAGCCGCGACAGCACGTGCAGCGGCACCGACGGGTCGTCTCCCGCGTTGAACACCTTGACTTGCGCCAGCTCCAAGCCCAGGGCGTCGGCGAAGCGCACGCGGAGCTGCCGGCTGCAGCCCGGCCGACATGCAGCGCCCGGCGCGCCCGCGGCCTTCTGGCGGCGCTCGGGGGAGCTGGGCAGTGAGCGCGCCCGCCGCAGGATGATGGGCCGCAGGCGGGGGTCGCAGCCGGACGGCGCTGGCGCTGGCGGCGGCGCGCGGCCCGGGCTCCCCGGGGGCCTACAGGGCCGCGGCTCCAGGGCCACGCCGCCGTCCAGGTCAGACAAGCAGCTGAGGCTCCGGGGGGTTAGCTTCCGGGATCCCAGGGCGCTGGGCAGGACCGCGGAGCTCGGGCCTCTGGACATGGTCCCGCCGGCCGTCGGAAGATGGGAAGACAGGGATGAGGGACGGCCTCCCGACCCCGCGACAGCTCCCTCCGTGCTCAGAAGCCGCTGAGAGTTCTCCGTATCTGCAACCTGCGGGAGACCTCTCGGGCCCGGTACGCCCTACCCTTGGTTCGCCACCTTGCCCCTCGAGTCCTTGTCCAGGTCCTCCGCTTCTTGCAGTTAAAGAAATTGTAAGAGAGGGGGTGCTTCTTTAGTTGAAGCTTTCAGAGGCCTCCCGGGAGCGCAGGGTAGCGCCTCTGTTTTTTTTTCTTGCTTTCTTGGAGGTTCTTACAAGAAGGCTGCGTTCCGGGAGCGGCCCCTCCCACTTCCCCGGTCCGCAGCGTTACTTACAAGGCTGCAACTTGACCGGGTGCAACTTCCTAGCGAGCCTCCGCCCCGCCCCTCGTGACGCCGCCTGCAGGCGGGCCCCCGCCTGCCCCGGCTCAGCCCGGGAGCTCCGCTGAGCTGCGCGCCGCCGCCTCCAGCTCCCCTGCTGCAGCGCGCCGCAGCCGGGCCTCCCCGCGCGGGCGCCGGAGAGGAAGGAAGGCTGGCAGCGTCGTCACGTGTCCGCTGCAGTCGCGAAACAGGTCTGATCAATTTCTGTTTACGTCTGCCTGGACTGCGCGCCTATCGATTATAGACTTTGCACAAACGGAGGACAAGGAAAATGCATGCTGCGTGTCCTTAGATTTCTGGGTTGTGGATGGGAGGAGTGGTGGTGCAAAAACCGGCCTTGCCGGGATATGGTCGCAGGCTAATTTTAAACATCAAGGCCAGCCCACACTTTGGACAGGTTCACTGCAACCTGGACCCTTGGCCAAACCGAGGGAGCCTCGCTGCGTAGAGGAGCAGCGTCATGTCCACATCACCCAGAATGCTTTGCCGCACCAAATGGCCAGCAGATTCCCTTGAGGGTGGGGTGGGGAGGTGCTGCTGTTGTCTTCCTGGACTCAGCGCCAGAGAGGAAGACAGGGGAACAAGAGTTATTACCCGGTGATGACTTCTGCAGCTGCCCCTAATCAGCCTCTGGCGCTTGGGAAGCATATTTGTAGGCAGAATCTCCGAAACAAATCTTTTAGCTTTGTTTCCAAGCAAGCCAGAAACACCAACAAGGCCTGGAGCTTGTTTTCTGCCTCTTTAGTACACTGCAAGCATTCGTGTCTCTCACCCGGTAGCTTTGAGCACAAGACCCCACAGCCTTTGGTGTAAAGCTTACCAGGTGAAATGAAGTGGAAAAGATGCAAGTGCACTTTCCAGAGAGCAGTTTGGGGCAAGGCATTCCATTAAGAAGGTTCCTTTTTACTGTCCAGAGGGACAAAGCAGAAAAAAACCAGACTAATGAAAGGGGGTTGATTCAAGAACATTTTCTACGTCTAAAATGAGTCAAGGCTGTTGATTGTGGTATAATTCATTAAATGTGAGAGAGTGATTTTATTTATCATTGGATGTAAGCTAACTAAAAAGGCTTACATGATTATTGTGGAAAAAATACAGGAAATTTTCAGGAAGAAAATAAAAATCTTCTGTAATCATATCTCTTATTTTACAGAGACAGGTGACATGGAAAAGAGAAGTACCCAATTTCCATTCAGTGCACTTTTAATAGGCCACTCAAAATGAGAGGGGAATAACAGCAATATGTGGTATGGGTCAACAATGTTTCACAAAGAGATAATATATAATATGTAATATATATGAATATATGGAAAATCTTATAATGGATTGATGTGATAGAGAAGGCCGAAAAATTGAATGGGAACATTCCTCCTAGAGTTTAAGCTCTTTCAGAACAGGGACATGCATAATCACTGCCATTTTTCTGGGTACTCCTGTAATTATTTGTTGAATGAATGAATGATTGGGCAATACAATGATTGAACACTGGAATAAGACCTGACCTTATTGGCCTTCCAGATTTCTTCAACATGTTATTTCCAGGGAAGATTATACCTGTGTGTGAATAGGGGGAGAGAGAGAGAGAGAGAGAGAGATGGAATCCACTCACAGTATTTATAGTAGTGTGATCCTGTGATCCTGTCTCTGATATCTACTGTAATAAACAGAAAAGACAAAGCTGTAAGCATAAGACAATGTCTCCCTTCCCCAGTATTTCACAACTCAACCGCTATATGATCACAGCCCTAATATTTCAATATTATACAAGTATTAAAAAACAAACAAGTGAAAAACCAACCAATACTGGTGTTAGGACCATTTGCAATCAGTAGTTACTGACAATATTCTGTTGCTTCTAGTTCCGGTGGTGAGGAGACCTTTCCAAATATAAGAGGAATAAAGAAGTCACCTCCCCAGCTGTCATCATCTTCCAGCAGATTGAGCAAGAATATTTTGAGCACTACAGGAAAGGTAATGTCAATTTAGAAGAAAAATCTTACTTAGATTTATTCTGGGATTTTTGTTTGTTTGCTTGCTTGTTTCTTGTGTACATGTTCACAGTATTTATTACTGCATCCCTGTTTTTTAGACAGTCCATCAAACCCTATATGATGATCAGCCATGTGATTTTTTCAAGAAGAGGAATAGGGTAAATGAATCTCATCAGAAAAGCAGGTAAATAGTTTTAGTATAATTGTTTTATCTTGCGAAAGGCTCATTATCTCTCTTGTCCAGATTGAATATGTGGAGTGGGGAAAAAAAGTAAGTCTATAGATAAGAAATATACATTTATATATTTTTTTCTAGCAGAAATGAGTGGAAAAGTGGTTTAAGCATAATAGTGGATAAGGATTCCAGTGGTCATAATTCTGGCAGTTGTTAGCAGAATTATAATTTTGAATAAATCCTTTAATGCTTTTCTATGTTAGTTTCCTTTTATATAAAAGGATACAGACAATAATTAATTTTTATGGATGCATATTGACAAGCAGAAACAAAATGTTTTAACAGTGTTATGAATTCTGAATAATGGAGATTCCTTCATTTTTTCATTCATTTATTCAACATTTATTGAGCACACATTGTACTATTGGCAATGATTTAATATCCTCCATATTTATTAATTAAAATGTAGCACGTATTCAAATAGTTGCTTAGTTTATCTGAAACCACTGGGCAAATGAACCTCTGAGGTTTCCAGAAAGCATGTTTACCACCCATTTCTGTTCATTGTATCTGACTTATATTCCAGAGAAGTATTATTAATCAAAATGACACATTCTTGGTAAATAAATTGAAAAGAGGATATTTTCAACCCTGATGTGAGATTCGGCCTCAGAATAAATTATGCCAGAGAGAATTAGTTGCTATACTCATAATGCACACGGTATTCATTATTCCCTTTACCTGCTATTCACAAGGTAGCACTAAGACCCTGTGTTTTCATTCATATGTGTTACAAGGCACCATATGATTTTATATCTGTTCTTTAAACACAATTTTCCCAAATGTGTTTTCTGTTTGAAAACATTTTAACAAGCTTTTGATTTAAGGTACAGGTTTGTATGTGCAATACTTTTATATATTAAAATTTCCCTCAGCTCAGAATCACCACTAATCAGGAGTGATTAAACTGCAAAACTTGCATGTTATATCATATTTATACTTAATTTAAAATAGGTATATAAAATAAAACTGTTTTTACTTCTGAATGTTATTAAATGCTTTTGATTGTAACAATTCCAGAGTCTGCGACTGATTTTTTTCCGAACTAAGGTTTTTTTTTAAAGTACACACGATTGCACTAAAAGTATGAAACAAGCACTTTGAGAAATGTTTTTCCTAAATGCTAATATTTGATATAAAATGGAAACTGTGCGTTCTCTTTTGTCACATGCATTATATAATGTATCTCAAATAGAGTATTATATGGAAAAATGTTCTGTAAAATTATGCTGTAAGGAGTTTGGAAGCTGACATTTTCTAATGCCTAGTAATAGCTGAGACAAAAAAGTACAACTAGAGGATTATTTTTGTTTGTTTAATTATAGCCAGACCATTTTTTGTCATACGTGGTAAGAAGTGCAGTTTTGTTTTCTCATAGCAATATGAATGCTGGCCCATCTTGGAATAAAGTGCAACATTCAAAGAATTCTTCAGGAAAAAGGCAGAGTAAATCCCAAGTACCCCACGCTGCTTCTCAGCTGAGAAGCAGCCTCACAGCTGTCACCCAGCCAACTGAAGAAAAACTTAAAGAAAGCATTGCCCCGGAAGCAAGACGCAAAAGGAATCCACTCGGTTCCAGGTGTCAGGGGGCCTCAGGGAATAAATTGTTTCTTGATTTTCAGTCAATGAAAATTATTAAAGAGGATGCTGATGAGGACAGTGCAAGTGATCTCTCTGATTCGGAAAGAATTCCCATTCCTCCTTCTCCCCTCACACCTCCAGATCTCAATCTTCGAGCTGAAGAAATTGATCCAGTTTACTTTGATCTTCACCCTGGTCAGGGCCATACAAAGCCTGAGTACTATTATCCTGATTTCCTTCCACCCCCTTTCAGCTCCTGGGACTTACGAGACATGGCCCTGCTTCTGAACGCAGAGAACAAAATGGAAGCTGTGCCCCGAGTGGGAGGACTTCTTGGGAAGTATATTGATAGACTTATTCAGCTTGAGTGGCTACAGGTCCAGACTGTACAGTGTGAAAAAGCAAAGGGGGCCAAAGCAAGGCCCCTCACTGCCCCTGGGACCTCAGGGGCACTGAAAAGCCCTGGGAGAAGTAAGCTAATTGCGAGTGCTCTGTCCAAGCCACTACCTCACCAGGAAGGGGCATCAAAGTCAGGCCCTTCCCGAAAGAAAGCTTTTCACCATGAAGAAATCCACCCATCACATTATGCATTTGAGACTGCCCCCAGACCCACTGATGTGCTTGCTGGTACCAGGTTTTGTTCTCAGAGGCAAACCCTTGAAATGAGGACAGAAGAAAAGAAAAAGAAATCCAGTAAGAGTACGAAGCTGCAACGTTGGGATCTGTCCTGCAGTGAAAGCAGCTCTAAGGTGGAAACCAACGGTAACATTCGAATTCCCAAACAGGCAGCTGTGATTCTGGACTCAGCAGATTCCTGTAAAGCCTCCAAAACACAAGCACATGCACATCCTAGGAAAAAGGGAAAGGCAGAGAGCTGTGGTCATGCCACTGTATCGAGTGAGAAAAAACTGAAAACAAATGGAGTAAAGCAAAACACATATAAACTAAAATAAATACCTACAATGATGAATTGCCAAGACCTGCAGGTACCTCAATATTAGAGTTCTTCCAAAAGTAAAAATACTGTGAATTTTAAGGAATTTTACAATTACTGACATTTAAGTAGTTGATTGGCACTTTTGTCCACCTTTATTTCTACCCCTAGTGGGGATATTTTCAAAGAGAGGTGTCTTTCAATAAGCCTTTCTTTGTGTTGTCAGTCTTAGGCAAATGAGAGCCCTTCAGATAAAAATTACCTAAAACATGTGCCATATAAAGGAATAAGATGGCACCTCTCCAGGGAAAGTACGGGCGAAACCTGGGCTACAGTAGCCGGCCTTTGTAGAGCAGATAGTGGTGTTCTCTCTCCATTTTCACACGCACATAAGTATATAAAAGAGTGCAGACTGTTTCAAATGGTGTGGAATCCTAAATGTTTAAAATAAGGCTCTTCTTGCCCACTCCCTCTCTTACTTTTTTATAAACTCCTCAAGCAAAATTTCTGTTCATTTTACCCTTAGGAGAAGCTTTAGTTCTTCCTCAAGTTAGGGAGTAGTGAGTTTGTATTTTGAGTAGTAATTTATCACTAAGCTGGTTGCTCTTTAGAGACAGTGGAATCTAGTACTTTAATACATTTTCTCTGACTGTTTTTTTTTTTTTTTTTTTTTTTTTTGGTGAGGGTGGCATTTTAAACTTAGAGGTGGTAGTAAAACCCACTTTGGAGTTCTCTGAACTGAGGTTAAAATAATTTGCAGAATTTTCCAAAGTCAATGGGCTTAGCATGATTACTGCTGTTTGGTGGGGCTGAGAATGAAATATTTGACACTCTGGAATTGCTGGCATGTAAGGCTTCTCCAGAGAGGCACCACAGGGAAATGACTCTTAACAATTTGTAAAGGAAGGGCCATAAAAGGATCAAAACATATGGACCTAACATTCAATGTAATAGTTACAAAGTTACTGATTTGGGTTCCACACCCTGTGGTCCTTAGTCAAAAATAATGATCTGTTTCATTTTGCAAGAGCAGGATTTTATTATTTTGCTTGGGGTGAGGGGCGGAGAGTAGAATATGAATAAGGTTGCTGAATGAATTCTAAACTCCCTTATCTGGTCTTCAGGCTTCCCAACTCTCTCCAACCCTTCTTATTTAACTGCAGTTGAATAACATCTTCTTGTTCCTATAGTTGTGCTGTGAGCTTTCTGTTTATATTTGTGCAGTGTATTTTAATACTGCCCATGTCGTTATAGTTGATTTTATCCCTTTAAACAATTATTGTATTTGTTTTTGACGTAGAGGTTTCAATTTTTTCACCTTTGGGGCAAATGAAAAACTTGGCATTTTTCATTTGGGAATATATAATAGCTTGTAAACTTTTCAGACAGCAGTAAATGTCTGAAAAAATATCAAAAACAGCATAAAGACAAGATTATGTAGCTATAATTATATGTATATAATTATAAAAAGCAATGTGCAAAGGTTACATTTTAAGGTCTTTCAAAATCTGATTTTAATCATACCAAATGACATAAAACTTTTTATGGGAGGCTTTTTCTTTCAGGACTTAATTTTTAGACTTGTACAAGTTCCTTCTTACATTCTTTCCCTCTCACGCCATCCTACTGGAGAAAGCTTACTTTTACACTCAGATCGTACTTTAAGCTTTTTATGTGAACAAAAGATGTACATATGGTAAGCATTACTTCCGTAGTCCTCAAGTATACTATAACTTTTGTACTTAGTATGTGTTTTATATTTGGAAAACATCACTACTCTTAGTTTTCGTGTAGTTCCTGAGTGGTGTCTGTGTGTTCCTTGCCTGCCCTATTTTGTGAGCACAGATTATTGTTATCCATGGCTGGCATTTCACTTACGATCCTTTCTCTGCTAGATTTTTATGCAGCTCTCTATGAAGTTTCATGGCCAATAGATATTGAAAAGCATGATATTCTATACATAAGTGTATATGTATATATACTCCTTATATTAATACTAAAGGGTTTATGCTGAGTTGCTGCCTTTCTCTGTAATGTATCCACATGCATGCTCTTAGAGACCTTGAATGGTTGAGGGTAAAGTGATTTATTAGTAATTCTACTTGCCTTGTGTATGTCTGAGCTGAAGACAATCATGATTAAGAAATTTAGAGGTGGCTGGGCACGGTGGCTCATGCCTGTAATCCCAGCACTTTGGGAGGCGGAGACGGGTGGATCACCTGAGGTGGGGAGTTCGAGACCAGCCTGACCAACATGGAGAAACCCCATCTCTACTAAAAATACAAAATTATCCAGGCATGGTGGCACTTTCCTGTAACCCAGCTACTCGGGAGGCGGAGGCAGGAGAATCACTTGACCCCGGGTGGCGGACGTTGTGGTGAGCTAAGATCGCGCCATTGCACTCCAGCCTGGGCAACAAGAGTGAAACTCCATTTCAAAAAAAAAGAAATTTAGAAGTAATGCCTCATACTTCTAAATTTCTCAGCTTTTTAAATTAAGCTGGTTGCATAATCTGGGGAAGAGTCAGAATTTCATGTGTTAAACAGTTTTAAAAGCCTGCAAAAGTGACTTTGCTTGTTTACTTTCTGCCTCAGATTGACTATTTTAACCAGTATTATCACGACTAGATCATAGCTCCTAGTAAATAACATGAAGTGTGTTAAAGTTAGGTCTATTACAGAATTAACATAAGCACAATTTTAATCTGATACACCTATCTAATACATCTTAATGCACTAAATGCTGCAGATAAGAGTCTTGCTATTTTTCAAGTAGACAACATTGGAAAGTTGAATCATGAACTCATTCAGTTCATCAAATCAAAAGCACTGAGTGTTTTGCTAGTCTAGTGACATGGGTCATTGTATTTCCAAGAAGTGCCTCTCATTTCTGGGGAGTTGTTTACATATACCCTGCATTTAAACTAATTAAAACAAGCCAAGTTTTTTTTTTTTTTTTTTTTTAAAGAACCAGAAAGAAAAAAAAAAAAAAAATTCAGGCTTAGAATTATCTAATGGAAAAAAATGTAAAAAAGTACAAAAATGGACTAAAAAGATATCAGTACTTGCAGTATTTGCTATGATTATTTAGGTTTAGACTTTCTCAACTTAAATGACTAAATGGGCTGAAGACTTGTAACTAACTTGAATAGGGTAGACTTCATACCCTGTGACAAAAAGGATGGGGAAGAGAATATCATTAGTCTTGCCATATACCTACTAGCTAAAAGGAAAATGGTATGTAGTTGTTCTTGGGCCTATTGTGTTGCTTTTCAGAAGGACATAAGACTTTCTACTTTATCTGATATGGATATTGTCTACTTCCTCATTCCTTTATGCTCATTTACTGAGTAGTCACATAGAAATGTAAAACTCTTGGTGGTACTGTATTTTAAGGTAATTCAGAAGCAGTATTTATTATTTATGTATGTACATGTACAGGACACCATTCAAAATGGCCTGAAAATATTCAGCATGTTTGTTATTTGCTGTTATATTGTATGTTTAGTTTTGTATGTGATAAACAGAATTCATGTAAGTTTTTGTGGACTTGAATTTCTCCTTCCTTGAGATCAATTAAACAGCAGAAAAATATTGTCTGGATTTTTCTGGTATTGTTTTGTTTTGCTTTTCATGCAGTTCTCTTATGAAGCTTGCCTTTATTTTCTCCCTGGTTATTTAAAAGAATTGCCCAGGATGAAATGCTATTCCAACTCCTGTCTTAACGCTAAGCAACATGGGTGGCCAAAGCACAGGTTAACATTACCAGATATATTTGAGAGGCATTGCAGTACATTTCTTGAGTCGCTCTTCCACTTATTACCCCACAAAAAGTGTTGAGGATTAATTAGGGGAGCAGGATGCAAATACAGTAAGCATAAATTAAGGTAACCTGTGATGTAATGAACTTGCATCTTTATGTACATATCCGGAAATGAGTAAGGTCTCTTTCAAGGAAGTGGCCTGGTTAGGAGATGGCAGTTTTGAGCAGCTCCGGCTGCAAACATTCTGAAAGGCCCGTTGCTCTTCTAACTTCACTCTGACAATAGGGTGCAATCTTTTGAGTCTACCAAATTGTGGCAGTAATGTTCAGTCGCTTAAAAAGTAAGTTTTTGGATATGTTTTGAAAATTAACCATGCTGGAGGTTTAAAAAATTTTTTTTTTGTACAGGAAATGTATTATTTGGGGATGTTGTTGTTTTATTATCCACAAGGTGGCGACTAAACCCTTTCAGATAGCAGAGAATTTGGCCTGAGTGCCTTCTAGTCAAATAACAAGGTTTTCACTGGAATCAAAAAGAAGTGGAGAGAAAAAGACTTTTTGACTTCAGGCCCAAAGCATGTTCTTTATTTAACTTCACTCTGCCATCAGAGAATACAGTGGTTTATTATGTGCAGTTACGTGCTGTGGAGGATTCTCTTTGATTCATTGAACATTCTCACATCATACAACACTGTATCCAGCAAAGAATTGTGCTCAATGAAGTAACATAAATCATCAATTTATAAAAATCTGTACAGAGATCCGTGTTTCATAAAATACAATTTGAATATTTTTGTCTTCACCAATTTAATATGTAAGGAATTACTGTAATAATACTGGAAAAATACATATAGAATTAAAAATGGGATAGTCATAAATCTAATTGCCCTAGCTTAAATGAGATTTTAAAGCAAACAAATAGCACATATTTAACTTTAGATTACATTAAGCGAGGACAATTTCATGCCTTGCTACTCAAATTGCGAGCTCCTCCCTAGACCTACTGAGTCAAAGTCTGCATTTTAACAAAATCCTTGGCACATTAAAGTTTGAGAAACCTGCTTTCCTGGTACTTAAGTCTGCAAGTTTGAGTGACTGCCTTTATGGTATGTGAGTAGTTGGCAGGCCCTGTCTCCCCTCAAGCAAGCCATTTGCTTATCTAGCCCTATTTTTCTCCATAGTTTAAAGGCACTGGGCCGGCTATTTACCTAAGAGGTTGCCTGAATGAGTGATTTACAGCCTCTGATAAAATCTGCTCCACGAGTGAAAACTAAGGAGTTGAAGTTTCTTTTTTCTTTTTTTTAAAATTTCAATAGCTTTTGGGGTACAAGTGGTTTTTGGTTACATGGATAAATTATATAGAGATGAATTAGAGATTTTAGTGCACCTGTCATCCGAGTAGTGTACATTGTACCTAATGTGCAGTTTTTTATTGCTAACCTCCCTCCCAACTTTCCCTCTTGAGTCTCTAAAGTCCATATGTCACTCTATATGCCCTTGCATATTCATAGCTTAGCTCCAACTTCTAAGTGAAAACATAAAGATTTGGGTTTACCACTCCTATGTTACTTCAGCTAGAATTATGAGGTCAGGAGTTCCAGACAAGCCTGGCCAACATGGCGAAACCCTGTCTCTACTAAAAATGCAATAATTAGCCAGGCGTGGTAGCATGTGCCTGTAATCCCAGCTACCCAGGAGGCTGAGGCAGGAGAATCCGGGAACCCGGGACGCAGAGGCTGCAGTGAGCCAAGATCATGCCACTGCACTCCAGCCTGGGTGACAGAGCAAGATTCTGTCTCAAAAAAAAAAAAAAAAATAATGACTTCCAGCTCCATCCAAGGTTTTGCAAAAGACAATGTTTAGCTCCCTTTAATGGCTGAGTAGTATTCCATGGTATACTTTATATATATATGTGTGTGTGAGTGTGTGTACATATATATCACTTTTTCTTTATCCACTTAATTGATGGGCACTTTGGTTGATTCCACATCTTTACAATTGTGAATTGTGCTGCTATAAATATACGTGTGCAAGTGTCTTTTTCATATAATGACTTCTTTTTCCTTTCGGTATGTTAGTCTGTTCTCATGCTGCTATGAATAAATACCCAAGACTGGGTAATTTATAAAGAAAGGAGGTTTAACTGACTCACAGTTCCACATGGCTGAGGAGGCCTCAGGGACCTTACAATCATGGTGGAAGGCACCTCTTCACAGGGAGGCAGGAGGGAGAATGAGAGCTGAGTGAAGGGGGAAGCCCCTTATAAAACCATCAGATCTCATGAGAACTCACTCACTATCAGGAGAACAGCATGCGAACCACACCCATAATCTAATCACATCCCAAGACGTCCCTCCCATGACGTGGGGCTTATGGGGACTATAATTCAAGATGAGATTTGGGTGGGGGCACAGCCAAACTGTATCAGGGTAGATACCCAGTACTGGGATTGCTGGATCAAATAGTAGATCTACTTTTAGCTCCTTAAGGAATCTCCATATGTTTTCCATACAGGTTGTACTAATTTACATTCCCATCTGCAGTGTACAAGCATTCTTTTTTCCCCACATCCATGCCGATATCTATTGTTTCTTGAGTTTTTAATAATGGCCAGTTTTACAGGAGTAAGGTGGTATCTCACTGTGGTTTTAATTTGCATTTCCCTGATGATTGGTGATCTTCAGCACTTTTTGCACATTTTTGTTGGGCATTTGTGTATCTTCTTTTGAGAACTGTCTACTCATGTCCTTTGCCTACTTCTTAATGAGATTATTTAGTTTTTTCTTGCTGATTTGTTTGCGTTACTGGTAGATTCTACATACTATTCCTTTTGTCAGATGTGTAGTTTGCAAATATTTCCTCCCATTCTGGGGTTGTCTGTTTACTCTGCTGATTATTTTGCCGTGCATAAGCTTTTTAGTTCAATTAGGTTCCATTTATTTATCTTTATTTTTGTTGCATTTGCTTTTTGGGTCTCAGTCATGAATTATTTGCCTAGGCCAACGTCTAGAAGAATTTTTCCAGTGTTGTCTTCTAGAATTTTCATTGTTTCAGGAAACTGGCAAGCCACACGTAGATCAGGAAACTGGCAAGCCACACGTAGAGGAACGAAACTGGATCCCTATCTGTTACCTTATACAAAAACCAACTCAGGATGGATCAAAGACTTACAATATAAGCGTTCGGGCTTCTTAGGTCACCTAACCACCTCATTCCATTTTCCTTATATTCAGACTCTTAGATTTTTGAACTGCAGGTGTGGAACATTCACTCTACCTTCCCTTGTCCCCTTCCTTTCACTCACTTGGTCATTTTGTCCAGGATTAGAAGAGTGTTCACCATTTGTCAGCAAGCTTTTCCTCTAAACCTATCTCTTGAGATACTCTGCCTAAATAAAGTAAGGAGAAAGAAAAAGAAGGCTTTGCTTTTCTCGTGTGGTGTTTTCGGTTTTCTAAATGCTGGAATGAAGTGCTTTTTGTTTGTAGAATTTATGTAATATTGAAATAGCTTAACAAGTTTAATTGAAGATGTTCTGATTTTTTAAAGTATGTATTTTCACCTTAACAGAACAGTTTTTGATGCAGGAAGATAAAAACAGCTGTTTAAATCTTCCCCTTTTTTTTCCTTCCCTTCTTTTTCTCCTTTCCTAAAGAAGCATAAACAATTTATGTCAGGGGTGTCTATTCTTTTGACTTCTCTGGGCCATACTGGAAGAATAATTGTCCTGGGCCACACATAAAGTACACTAACACTAACAATAGCTATTGAGCTTAAAAAATGCAAAAAAATTTACAGTGTTTTAAGACATTTTATGAATTTGTGTTGGGCCACTTTTAAAGCTATCCTGGGCCACAGGTTGAACAAGCTTGATTTACAAACATAAATGATAGAAGAAAGAGCCTGTGATTCATACCATTGGTATGATTAGCACTGGAATATACTTGCAAAAAGTGAAAACACCTTCAATATGTTATATCTGGCAGTGTTTTTGTTTGTTTTTCTAATTGCGTATCTGCAACTACATATTAGTTGAAAAAATTGGGGTAAGAGATTAAAATCTCTCCAAGGTAATTTTCTGGCCAGCTCTCAGTGACTGACAACATACTAAAACCTAAGAAACTGCACTCTCAAATCAACCCATGTGATTAGTAATCAGAATTGAAAAACAAAATTCTTAGTCCTTGAAAAAAAAAAAACCCAGAAACACAAATGATAAATTATTTTATTCGAATGTGAAGTCTAATGAACTTCAGCTCTTAATATATGTGACAAGCTATTGGGGTACAACTAGAGATACACTATCCAGTATTGGGTAAAACTACACTTAAAAATAAGTGTAGTTTTGCTCACTTAAAATAACTGCACTTAAAAATAAGTGTAGTGTAGCTCACTTGATAATGATGAATGCTTCATGAGGGCACCCCTACCTGGCTTGGGCTTCTGCTTGGACAGTGATCTGGCTGGTCAGGCCCCATGCCCAGCTGAAAGGAAGGGAACCGAGGTGGACAGCAGGACTGAGGGAAGATGACAAACACACCCAACTCTACCTGCATTTGGCATTTCCCGTATGGGTCAAGTAAACCCCAGAGAAGTAAAGTGCTGGTGGAGTTTTCCTTGATGGAGTCAAATTCACCTTTCTGGTTTTTTCCCAATATGACCTTATAAAATTTTTCAGGCCAGGCAGAGTGGCTTACACCTGTAATCCCAGCACTTTAGGAGGCCGAGACAGGTGGATCACCTGAGGTCAAGAGTTTGAGACCAGCCAAGCCAACACGGTGAAACCCCGTCTCTACTAAAAATACAAAAATTAACAGGGCCTGACAGCACACGCCTGTAATCC